GAAACTCTTTTACCCAATCCTTATCAAAATTGTGTTACACGGTTGTGATAAGTCAATTTCATAACAACTTAATCTGGGAAATTTTTGGGGATAAACACATACTGTCTAGAATATATACAATTACACGGGAACACTATAGAATTATTTTTTTTTTTTTTGCACGTACGAGGCAGAATACAATTGTTTACGTCTATAGTTGGAGAATTGGGAAAAAGTTTTGGAACGTGAATCTTGTTTCGTCTTTCAAAAATTAAAGCAAGTTAACAGGTAGGATATGAGGTGTAGTGTTTTTATGTCTCGTTTAATTATTTTTTTTATATTGATGAATTTTGTACTCATGAAAGTTAAAGTTATGATATGAATGATATGGACATTCCAGTACAATGAAATAATAAGATATGAGCTCTTATCGAATTTAAAGATATGAAATGGTATGATATTCTGATACATGCTTTAAAGTTTTTATACGGGATCGCACCATTAATTTATATATCCTACTGAGCATTTTCATGTACTCATCCCCTTCCCTACCCCTCACAGGTTAGATCGCGTCGTGTTGGAGTGTGACGGTTCGATGGTGTGGTTGTCTCTCGTCTTGCTGGACGAAAATCTAGAATTTTAGCAAGTAATTTTATTTATTTGCCATAGACATTTATTTTAACACTAAATTATCGTTTATGTTTATTTGATACATGGATATTTTTAAATTGTGCTGTTATTTAAAAGTTTGAATCGAATTATTTGATTTTCCTTTAGTGCTGTCTTATATCAATTAAAACAAGAATTAATTATATAGGAAAAAACGAAATATGTATATGTATTCACTGTTTAAAAGTAATTGGTTAAACTTTACTGCCTTGTTCATGTGAATGAATAATTTTTTATGTATTTTCGTGACCTTCCCAGAATTTATGTAAAGTTATGGTCAAAGCAATGAATCCTCACTTGTCACATCATGCTTTCATCGTCTCTTTTGGGTACTACACGGCAAATGAAGATTTTAAACATAGTTGACTAATATCAATACATTAATTATATGTCTAGTGTGTGAACTCAAATTTTAGATATAAATTTAATTGTATCTTTCTAAATATATAAGAATAAAATATGATGTAGATACATCCTTGTTTTCTCCTTTTATTAATCAGGGGTATTAATTTTTTTACTTTGAGTAAACCACCTTAAAAATAAATTGATAACTAGTTAATTGTCACGTTAAATTCTCTTAAAGAAAATTTTGGTAACAATTTGAATTTAAAATTTTTGGGTCATTACAGTTTAGTATTACAGCGTAGGTTTATTTATAAACCCACTTGTATGTTGATAGTATGAATATAAAAAATTTAAAGTTGGTCCCAAAAAAAAAATGGCACGTCGATGAACAGTGACTAAAACCAAAGAATATATATAAAAAAATAATAATAATATTTGAGATAGAGAAATTAAATGATTGAAGTGTGCACCTTTATATCTATATCTATATCTATCTTTTATGCATGTTCAAAAAATATTTTACTACCAACTCAATTTTCCTGTATAAAAAAAATAAGTAAAAAAAATTGATACTGTTCACGTGAACAGTTAAAAAAAGGATTTTAAATTATTGCTAAATTGTATGTGTGTATGTAGACTTTTAGAAATACTTTCCTTAGAATAAATTTTATGTTTAACCACAATAATCACTAAATTATTTAGTTACTAGATTTTTCAAATGGATGAAATTTTATAATAGTCCATGTACTAGTATATGGTATTTTCTATTAGCTAAAATTTCGATATAATCCCCATGTAAAAAAAATAATACTAATAAAAAAAAATAATAATAAAATAAATAAATAATTTTTGATGATATATATAAAATTAGATGTTACGTGTAATAAACTATTTAATTGTTTCATTGCGTAATATTTGTTAAAGATTAATATTTTTCTGAAAATTTATGAATTTAACGATAATAATAATTTAAAATTATTAAATATATGAATGATCTTTGACACTCAATGACCACCAATCGACCACCTTCCAACGACCCTAAGGTATGTAAAGGGGTAAAAAGATAAATGTACTTAGACATTTTGCATGATTTAAATATTTTAAATTGCATATCTTTAAATTTTTAGGGTATTTTCTCATTAAATTTATGATATGCTTAAAAAAAAAAAATTAAATAAATATATGTATAACTTGTTACACTTAGTACTGGAATGTGACCAAAAACTTCAAATTAAATTTTAGGAAATGGCACTATCTACTCACACGAACTTGATGCGCAATTTACTACGAGTGTTACAAGAACTGAGCAGACAGAGCCAAGCACCGCCGCCACAGAATGCACCGCTACAACAAAATGCACCTCCATTTATCCCTGGAGCCATCTCAGTGGTTGAGCAATTTCGTAGGTACAAGCCTCCGACTTTCGATGGTGGTTCCGACCCACTGGTTGTTGAGGAGTGAATTAGAGGTTTGAAGCGCATCTTTCGACACATTGCTTGTACGGATGCACAAAAAGTGCTATGCGCTGAATTTTTGTTTGTTGGAGCAGCTAGTCACTGGTGGGAATCTGTCTCACGTACTAGGACGAAAGAGCAGTAACGTAACTTGACTTGCGAACAGTTTAAGGATGAAGTGATGGCAAACTATTTTCCACTGGCTTTGAGAGACTTCAAGGAATCAGAGTTTCTACAGCTCAGGTAGGGAGACATGTCGCTTACTGATTACGAGAGGCAGTTTGAGTGGCTCTCAAAATATGCCCCGCACTTAGTGGATACTAAAGTTAAGAAGATTAGGAAGTTCAAAAATGGACTACGCCCAGAGATCGGTATGATCATTATGTCCCATCGTTTAACCTCATATCGTGGGATGTTGGAAAGAGCCCATGCTATTTCATATAAGAGAACCACATTTGGACAGTATGCCCAGTATAGCAAGGAGTCGTTGGGAAAAATGAAGTGGCGTGATCAGAACAAGAACAGACATAACTAGCAAAATAAAAGGCCAAGCAAAGGAGTTCGTATTGGTGGGACGAGTGGGAGTATTACACCCTGTCCTAAGTGTAATAAACTTCACAAGGGTAAATGTTTACTGCGGAAGAACATGTGTTTCCGGTGTGGTAAGTCGGGACACATTTCCCTCAACTGCATAGAGCCTCATAAGAAGAATGATGATGATCAGGACAAGAATAAGAAAGCAAAAGCTCGAGTTTTTGCATTGAATCAGCATGAGGCAGAGCAGGATCCGAATGTGATAGCAGGTATTCTATTATTAATATTTTCAACATACATGCTTATGTTCTTTTTACCTAGGACCATACATTGTTTTATCTCTATCACTTGGTTGCTAGTCTAACATTATAATTATGAAAACAGGTATTCTATTATTATCTGATGTACCTGCTTACGTACTTTTTGACTCCGGGGCTACAAATTCTTTTATCTCTGCATCCTTCGTCACTAGGTCAAACTTCGCATGTGTGAAAACGAATTATGAATTAGAAGTTAGCATCCCTTTAGGAAGAACTGTTTGTACAAATCAGATGACTAAGACTATGAAATTAGAGATTGACAGGAAAATATTATAGGTGGAATTATACCTTTTGGAGATGAAAGATTTCGATGTTATTTTAGGCATGGATTAGTTGAGACCTAATCACGCGACCATTCGATGTCACGAGAAAGAAGTATTGTTTCATAGACCGGGAGAGGAAGAATTCCGTTTCTTTGGATCAAAGTTCAAGTCTTTGCCTCGTCTTGTATCGACTATTCAAGCGGAAAAGATGTTGAAAAAGGAGTCATGTCAAGGATTCTAGTTAATATCACCAGTCCCCAACATACAAAAATGACTGTTAACGTTATTAATATTGTGCGAGATTTTGCAGACGTATTCTCAGAAGATTTACCAGGCATTCCACAAGATAGGCAAGTGGAATTTACAATTGATTTGGTTCCTAAAGCAGTACCAGTATCCAAGGCCCTATACCGAATGGCAATGAAAGAACTTCAAGAATTGAAGTTGCAATTAGAGGAGTTGTTGGAGAAATGTTTCATTCGGTCCAGTGTATCTCATTGGGGAGCTCCTGTACTTTTTATCAAGAAGAAGGATGGGAGTATGAGGATGTGCATTGACTACCGGGAATTGAACCATCTCACCATCAAAAATAAGTACCCGCTGCCAAGAATAGAAGATTTGTTTGATCAGTTAAGGGGTGCTACAGTGTTTTCAAAGATCGACTTGAGGTCAGGGTATCATCAGTTAAAAATCAGGGCAAGCGATATACCAAAAACTGCTTACAGGGCTCGTTATGGACACTATGAATTTACTGTCATGAGAAATTATATGTCAAATTCAAGAAGTGCGAATTTTGGCTTGATTGGATAGGTTTCCTTGGTCATGTGGTTACCACCCAAGGAATCGACGTAGATCCTACTAAAGTAGAAACAATAACAAATTGGCCAGCAGTGTGGATGAAGTCCGTAATTTCTTGGAATTGGCTGGTTATTATAGAGGATTCATTGAAGGCTTCTCAAAAATAGCAAGGCCGATGACTCAATTGACGAGAAAGGGTGTGAAGTTTCAGTGGACAGAAAAATGTGAAAAATATTTTCAAGAACTCAAGCAGAGACTAGTTTCAGCTCCTATATTGACGATACCAGATGGCTCTGATGGATTCGTGATTTACAGCGATGCCTCCAAATAGGGTTTAGGCTATGTACTAATGCAACATGGAAAAGTGGTTACTTTCGCCTCGAGACAGTTGAAGCAGTATGAGCAAAACTATCCAACACACGACTTGGAGCTTGCAGCAGTAGTTCACGCCTTAAAGATATGACATCATTATCTCTATGGTGGGAAGTGTGAAATTTATACAGACCACAAGCGTCTCAAATACTTTTTCACACAGAATGAACTGAATATGAGACAGAGGAGATGGTTGGAGTTAGTGAAAGATTATGACTGCACAATTCATTATCATTCGGGTAAGGCTAATGTAGTCACAGATGCCTTCAACAGAAGATGGGATTGCAGTTAGCAGTTTTACCCACGGTGTAGGAACACTTGATAAAAGACTTTGAGAAACTAAGATTGGAAGTTATCACACCGCCAACTCAAACTATAGCAAGAATAAGAGCATTTATGATTTGATCCACTCTTCGGGATCGAATTAAAGAAGCACAGGACAAGGATCCATTTTTGCAGAAGATTAAGGCTGAGATTTGTACAAACAAACGTATAGAAATTGAAGTATCTGCAGATAAATCATTAACTTTTAAAGGAAGGTTGTGTGTACCTAAAGATGAAATTATAAGAAATGAGATATTGGAAGAGGCTCACTCTACCCCGTATTCAACACATCCAGGTGGTACGAAAATGTATTGAGATCTCCGACATACGTTTTGGTGGAGAAACATGAAGAGAAGAATTGGTCTACTCTTTGAAAAATGTATTATCTGTCTACAGGTCAAGGCAGAACATCAAAGGCCGTCAGGACTATTGAAATCGTTGGATATTCTATAATGGAAGTGGAAACACATAACGATAGACTTTGTGGTAGGCCTCTCGAGGTCAGCAAAAGGTTACAATGCTATCTGGGTAATGGTAGATCGTCTAACGAAGTCAGTCCATTTTCTACCTATCAAAGTAAACTTCAACATGAAACAGCTCGCACAGTTATACATCAAAGAATGAAATCCCAGTCACCGTTGTTTTAGATAGAGACCCGAGGTTCACATCTAAATTTTGGAAAAGTTTGCAGACAGCCATGGAGACGACGCTAAAGTTTAACACTGCTTATCATCCTCAAACGGATGGACAGTTGGAAAAAACCATCCAAACTCTGGAAGATATGTTAAGGGCTTGTATTTTGGACCTTAGGGGTAGTTAGGAGACACATCTGCCTTTAGTGGAGTTTGCTTTCAATAATAGTTTCCAAGCCACTATAGGTATGGCCCCATATGAAGCTTCTTATGGTAGAAAGTGCAGATCTCCTATCCATTGGGACAAGGTCGGGGAGAGAACAGAATTTTGGGTCCTGAAATCATTGAACGAACAATTGAGGCAGTTGATAAAATTAGAGTAAGAATAAAGATAGCGCTAGACCGTCAGATTAGTTATGCTGACAGTAGAAGAAAGAATTTAGAATTTCAAGTGGGCGACAAGATTTTTCTAAAGGTAGCACCAATGAAGGGTATATTGAGATTTGGAAACAAATGGAAGTTAAGACCGCGATTCATTGGACCTTTCAAGATCCTTGAAAGGATTGGTGTTGTGGCTTACCGACTTGTCTTACCAGCTGAACTTGCAGCAATGCATAATGTGTTCCATGTTTCGATGCTCAGAAAATATGTCCATTATCCCAATCACGTGGTAAGTTACCAAGCCTTAGAGGTACAAAAAGATCTATCATATGAAGAAATCCCAACAATGATTCTGGATCAAAAAATGCATCAACTCAGAAACAGGGAAGCTCCCCTAGTCAAGGTCCAATGGCAAAATCATGGACTTGATGAGTCAACTTGGGAGAAAGAATGAGAGTTTAAAACCAAGTGTCTAGAGCTCTTTGATTAACTAAGGTAAATTTTCGAGGACGAAAATATTCTAAGGAAGGGAGATTGTAATGTCCCAAAATTTCATATATTAGAATTTAATTTATGTGTGCTCTATTTAAATATTTTGGAAGTTTAGGGACTAAAATATATATAAAGTAAGATTCATTATTTTTGGATGTTAAAATGTAGATGTTGACGAAGTGACAATAAATATATCAATATTGTACTCGTTGGATAGCTCACAAATAATCACGTATACTAGGCTTGAGAAAAAAATTATTTTGGAATTAGTTAGCCCAAGTTATTGTAGTTCTAAGAATTTTTTTTTTTTTTTTTTTTTTTTTGTAATTTATTAAGTAGTTTATTGATTTTAAATATGGCAGTAGTCACGTGTATGGGTAATTAAATATAAACTAATCTTTTTTATTTAATTAGGAGTTATAATTTAATTAAAACTATAGTTAGTCTTTCTTTTATTATTATTATTATTATTATTATTATTATTATTATTATTATTATTATTATTATTATTATTTTGAATTGAGATTTGCAAATCCCAAGGAAACTCTTTTACCCAAATCCTTATCAAAATTGTGGTACACATTTGTGATAAGTCAATTTCATGACAACTTAATCTGAGAAATTTTTGGGGATAAACACATACCGCCTAGAATATATACAATTACACGGGAACACTATAGAATTATTATTATTATTATTATTTTTTTTTGCACATACGAGGCAGAATACAATTGTTCACGTCTATAGTTGGAGAATTTGGAAAAAGTTTTGGAACGTGAATCTTATGTTGTCTTCCAAAAATTAAAGCAAGTTAACAAGGTAGGATATGAGGTGTAGTATTTTCATGTCCCGTTTAATTATTTTTTTCATGTTGATGAATTTTGTACTCATGAAAATTAAAGTTATGATATGAATGATATGATCATTCCGATACAATGAAATGATATGATATGAGCTCTTACCGGGTTTAAAGATATGAGACGGTATGATATTCTGATACAGGCTTTAAAGTTTTTATACGGGATCACACCATTAATTTTTATAACGTACTGAGTATTTTCATGTACTCATCCCTTTCCCTACCCCTCACAGGTTAGATCGGATTGTGTTGGAGCGTGACGGTTCGATGGTGTGGTTGTGCCTCGTCTTGCTGGACAAAAATCTAGAATTTTAGCAAGTAATTTTATTTATTTGTCATAGACATTTATTTTAACACTAAATTATCGTTTATGTTTATTTGCTATATGAATATTTTTAAATTGTGCTATTATTTAAAAGTTTGAATCGAATTATTTGATTTTCCTTTAGTGTTGTCTTATATCAGTGAAACAAAATTTTATTTAGAATTAATTATATAGGATAAAACGAAATATGTTTATGTATTCACTGTTTAAAAGTAATTGGTTATACTTTACTGCCTTTTTCATGTGAATGAGTAATTTTATGTATTTTCATGACCTTTCCAGAATTTATGTAAAGTTATGGTCAAAGCAATGATTCCTCTCTTGTCACATCATGGAAACTACACGGCAAATGAAGATTTTAAACATAGTTGACTAATATCCATAAATTAAATATATATCTAGTGTGTGAACTCAAATTTTAGATATAAATTTAATTGTATCTTTCTAAATATATAAGAATAAAATATGACATAGAGACATCCTTGTTTTCTCCCTTTTTATTAATCAAGGTATTAATTTTTTTACTTTGTGTAAACCACATTAAAAATAAATTTATAACTAGTTAATTGTCACGTTAAATTTCCTTTAAATAAAATTTTGGTAACGATTTGAATTTAAAATTTTTGGGTCGTTACACTTAACACAGATATTATTAGTCTAATATGAGAATGCAATGAATTTTGCTATGAAGTGTGATAAGTTCCCAACATTTGCATCTATTCATCGAAAACCCGTACAAGAGTTGATAACTAATAGTGGCCTCTGGCCTTTGCCAAGTGGAGAATCAACTTCATAAGACCATTACCCAGAAGAAGATCTAATATGAGATTTATGATAGTGGCAGTGGATTTTTTACTAACGAGCAGAAGTTGAACCCCTTGTAATCATTATTGAAGCCAACACTTGTAAGTTCATATGAAAAAAACATTATATACAGATTTGGGATGCCAACTCAACAATTTCAGATAATGGAACACAATTTCAGGGGGAAGAAACTAAAGGTAATGTGTGATAAGTTGAGCATTCGCAGATACTTTCCACTCCATATTATCCTTAAG